CTTTCTATTAGGAATTTTCTTTCTTACAAGAGACAGCTCTCTCCCAATAAAACCATACCCTATAGCTTTATAGGTAAAATACAAAGGAATAAAGTTATGTTCTGAATCCTTATGATGAATATACATACTAGCCTCAGCAGGCTTACTTATACAGGCAGAACTAGGAAAAAGAAGTTGTAGCATTAGTTTTTGGATATTAAACTTCCAAAGACTTTGCACAAATGTGTTATTTTTTTATTATTATTAACAACAACCTATACCTCTCCTTTTTCAGACTACTGGAGTTTGGTTCAAAGCTTTCAGTAGAGTTTTGATGCTAGGACAGGCCTTTGGGCATTATCAGCTAGTTTTGTAAACAGATTTGGTTTGTATACCATCATTATTGCAAGATAGTATATAATGAATAAGAATCTACTACCTAATTTTTCCAACATGCATCAATCCAGAGATGTAACCTGGTATGAACACATAATTTCAGCTAACATCTTAGCTGACTTTGCCCCGAACCAAATGATGAGTCTTTGCCATAGAAAGCTATTGTGTACAAATTTGTGAGACAAACATCAAGCTGTCACAAAAATGTTTCTAAACTACTTTAAGATATTGCCCTAGAGAGTAGCCTCAGATATTATTTATAAAGGGACAGATCTTCTTCATTCAGCACAAGCAGTTCCATCAAAAAAAAAAAACCAAACCCAAAACACACAAAAAAAACCAAAAACAAAACCAAAAACCCACCACACATCAATGAACTACTCACATGGGTAAAGCAAAGCGGATGTGATGTCCACTTATATTTTTACTGCTGTATAACCTAGAAGAAGTTTCTTGTCTCTGGCTTCTCACTTATGGTCAAGTTTATCACCCCAGGCCTAACCCTAAAAAGATGCTGAACTTCCTGAAAGGTGGTGAAGAAACACAGCCTCCATCTGACTTGGCTGGATCAGGCCCTGAGTAACTGAACTAAGAACATGACAAATCAGGTATACAATCCTGGTATTATAAAATATGAAAATGAAACTATTCCCTGGTGCTTTCCTGTAGACCACATGTTTTTAAACCTTAAAAAGATTTATTTCCCACTTTTCATGCATAATCTGCCATATTCATTATTTGAAATATCCCTTAAAGAGATTAAACAGGAATTAAAGTCTGGGAGCATCATATCTATCACTGTGGTACAAACTGATGCCAAATTCTACAAGTCATTTAGCCTTGTATGTAAAGGCAGTGGCCATTTTCACTTTGTTTCACAAAGAATAAGGAAAACACAATACCCCAGTAGACTTTCAGATGTGTTTTTTCCCCTCCAAAGAAAAGGGTGGATGATAAAGCTACACACACCTTTTAATCTTCCACTTGGGGTTTTTACACATATATTCCCCGGCAAAAACCCCAGGGTCTTCTCTCTCCCCTCCCCTTCTCTCAGCCCCTTTCCTGCCATCTCCCTTGCTATAACTCAGCTAACCCAACAGAACCAGTCAGTTTTAAATTTCAGTTGGGACCCCGTTGACCTGTTAATGAATCTACAGAGAGGAGAAAAACTCACAGTGTTGAGTTATGCCTGGTGTTGCTAGCTGACTTGGAGTCAGAAATGCTTGAAGCGTTAACGTAATTGCAAGAATGTGAAAAATGAAGCGTTGGGCTCCTGAGCAAAGCAAAAGGTCAAAGCAAGCCCTACACAAAACAAGTCTCTGGAAGATGGCCTCATTAGACCATTAAATCAGCTGCTTCTTTTTCTCCTTTGTAAGATGTTTAGAGTGTTTTATTTTTATTATTGGATATATTTAACTCTTTCTCTTTCCAGGGCAGGGGGAAAGTTGATCAGACCTACTACATAATTACTAATCTCTAAAATAGTATTACATGGCATTGATCTGCATTTGTGGATCTGAACTGGGGATAAAGTCAATAAATGCTTGGTAGACTACAGGTCACTAGTACTTTGGTTTGCTAGATGATCAATACATTGTATAGCTTAGTTTTCTGTTGAACAAGTGAGGTGACATGTTAAGAACAACATAGACACTCACCACTAATAAAATTAGGATAATCTTTCAACATTTACTGCCTGAAGGCCCTTTCCTTAACTCTTTCAATGCCAGCATGTTTCTAATAATACTGAACATTGACTAGATTAACCCTTTTGATGCCAAAAGGCAGTCATGCACTGTTGTGGGGAGGCTGTCCTCCATAAACAGACAAAATGCCTACACCTTTTTCATTTGGTTCTAACTTTAAGAATTATGGATGAATTCTTCTGTGTAATAAATATATCTACCTCATGCAGGGGAAGTCTGCAAAAAAGAAGTAATCATTCACCCAACTCCTTTCCGTCTCCCCACCCAAAAAAAAAAAAAAAATCACAAGCTGCACATCATAGACTTAAGGT